CGTGCGTATTTCAGGGATGAGGGAATCGGTCAATGCCCACTTTTCCTAGTGCACTGAGGACTTCCTGCTGCATTTCTCATGTGATGCCTATGGTCAGGCTGTGAAACAGTAGAGACAAGAATTATTGCCTTTCTTATTCATACATGAGCAGAAGAGACAAAGATGGTGAATTCTCCACCTGAGTTTAAGCTTGTTCGTCATCCGTTCAGACCGGGGAATAGTCCTCCTGTCTCCTAAACTGACAGTCTTTCGACCCGTGACCCCTCTGCTTTTCACACCTTACGTGCTGTACGCAATTGAAAAGCAGGTGCAGACCAGGAGGGTGGATCATGTACTGTTCACGTTTCCATTTTCTTGTCCCAAACACTAAGAAAAGCTGAACAAAACAGAACAAAAACTATCCCAGACTTACATCTGTTCTGAAAGTCCTGCCTTTCTTTTTACATGTCTGAATGGACAACAGTCAAACGGTCACTCCATGCCCGAGTGGCAGGGAAGGATTCATGGCTGTGTGTTCATTAGAGACTGTTAGAGACCGTCACCAAATCAGAGGAGTTTAAAAATCAGTCCCCATAAATTATCTATAGGGACATAACAATAAACCCAGCCCTCCTGCTGGCTACCTGGATTCCATAGGCACTGGTGTGATATGCTGAGCATCCCAAAGGAGGAAAATAGTCACAAAATATGTAAAAATAGGCTGAGAATCAAATATTAGTCCATGGGCAATACTGTAATTTGACGACCATTAAAAGGCGTTAGTTGGTCACTATTAAACATCCAAACACAGAGAGTTAATCTAAAGTACTGAAAGTAAGAGATCCTGAGAGCCTTGATTACATTCTTAGGTTGCTTTTTGTTTTTATTTTTTAAACTTCAATAACCAAATGCAGACAATTCAAGCTTCAGTGAGTTTTGGGAGGACATAATTCAGTCCACTACAGGCATGGAACTGGGGACTAGGCCCCCCTCCCACAACCGGTTACATCGCCGACACTAAGGAATGTGCCAAAAACATCACCTCCATGTGGGTGGCCCACCACAGCCATCACAATAACCACAGCAGCTGCAAAAGCGGCTAGACACCACAACCACTACACAGAGGGTCCACGAGCCACTGGAGTGCACTGACACAAGGAGAGTCACCAGCAGAGACAAAGAAAAGAAGAGGACGTCTCTCTCCACAAAGCCCATTCCAGAGTGACAGAAGCGGCTGCTCTACGATAATATTGGGGGACCTGATCACACCTCTCAGCATTGGACAGATCATCTAGGCAACAAATCAACAGAGTAACCATTATTCTTTCAGGAGAGAAGAAATCCAGGGTAATTAGATGGGGGAGAAGGAGGCAATGGGGGATGGGGAGAGATTGGACCAGGGGCATAAAGAATAATTATGATTCATAACAATGTGTATGCTAGTAATATTGATTTGATCAACATATCTCAATGTTCAACCCCAAAGATGTGTATGGTCAATTATGATTCATAAAATTTTTTTAAAAAATAGCCAAATGCAGTTGGATTTTTTCCTTTGATAACTGAAATGTATGTTGAGGCCAATAAAATTCATACTATAAGATGAGAAAAATAAAGTTTGTGTGAATCATTTGGAAATCATTCCTCACATTCAAAACTACTTGCTAGACATCCCATTCTCATTAAAAGTGGACCTCGCTATGTGTAGTGGATTGAATTATGTCCCCCCAAACTCCCTGAAGTTTGAATTGTGTCCCCCAAGTTTTAAGTACTAGAAACTTGGCCCCACTGTGACTGTTAAGAGGGTGGGAAATCCTATTATGGTGATTGAAAGGTGGAGCCTTAAAGAGGTGATTGGACTGTAGGACCGTGCAGGAGTGAATGGATTAAAAATAGTGCTGAGGGGTGTGTGGTTCTGAGGGCTTTAAAAGAAGAAGAGAGTCTGTCTGTCTGTCTGTCTCTCTTGCTTTCTCTGCTCTCTCTGCTTCCACCTTCTTTCAATGTGAGACCCCGGGATCACTGTCACCACCAACAGATGGACTTTAGACTTCCCAGCCTCAGAAACTGTAAGCAATGAATTACACTTTCTTTATAAATCACCCAGTTCCATGTACTTTGTTATAAGCAACATAAACACTACACGAAGTTCCTTTGTTACAGTCTTGCTAAATTAACTTCTTTCTCTCTTTTTGAATCGAGTTCTGCTCCTTAAAATTTATTTGCACTCCTCGGCTTCAGACCCCAGTTCTGAGCTGTGTCTCTCCTGGTCTTTTCGGGGAGGTCTTTGCTTTTCCTCTTTGTCAGAGTTTAATCATTTCTGCCAGCTCAGGGCTGTGGAAATCCAATGTGCAGTGCACGAGCAGAGTCTGCGTGCGAGAATCACAGCCACATAAAACGGATCTGCTGTGCAGCCTCCGTAATAAAAATGGAGAGGTGTTTTAATTTCATTTCCTTGTTTTTTAGGATTATGGGTGTTTCCCAGTCCTCCTGCTAAAAGATCCAAATAAAGCTTCAAGGTGAATAATCCTCAACCGACACCACTGAAGAGAATTACCTACTCAGAATAATAGTCTACCAAATGCCTGCACATAAATTGTAAATTAAATCAGCCTGAATAACATGGATTAACATAATTTCCAAAATAATACACGAGTATTTTTTTTACTTTTGTTAATACTTCGTCAGTGAGAAACATTCTGTTCTTACTGCTTCCATGAGATATAAAGTGCATAAAACTGGATGGGAGGGAAAACAGGCTCACATGGGTAAGATAGTTGTCACTATATCCCACGGAGGGGCGAAGACAAAACTTGCCCACAGCACGATGAGGTCCCACAGGCCCCTGGCAGCATTGCAAGTTCCGAGGGTCATCTATCGGTGGTGGACCAGGCACCCTGTGATGAAATGACCAGGACTCCCAGCATCGCAGCCTTGGCTTGTTGCCAGCCCCCCTGTGGCAAACGTACGGCCTTGGAGGCTGGGCTGCAGCCTGACAGCCTCTTTCTCAAAGGATGCACCTGCAGCTCAGGTGGCGGTGTGAGCTGGAGGGTTCGTGTAGAAGACCCTGAACATGGCCTGTGAATCTGATGAGTTCTCAATAGGTGTCAGTGCCAGAGATACACAGGTGATTCTTGATACTTTACAATCAAAACACACAACTGAAAAGATTTTATGATTGACCACCTGTCCCAAATAAGAATAAAATAATTTCTATCACAGCCCCACCCCCGAAAGAGCTTGGTAGAACAGGTGCCGTGGCCCTGGAGGAGTCCTGTTAAAATGTTGCAGTGACTGAGGTGGTCTCCTACCTGGTGGTCCATCTTGGACTAGCAGGGCTGAGCCAGGAGGAATGTAGTCCCACTGTGTGCGGCTGTGGCATCTTTATGCTGTTGCATGTGGGACCGACTCCATGTGAAGAGGAAAGTAGGTGGGCATTTGGTCACTTGTTTCTTTTCTCATAAAAAAGACTTTTGTTTTTTAATTTTAAAAAGTGCATCCTTTGGAAAGGATTGTATATATATATACAAATATAAAAGTAAATTTAGTATCAAAATTTCCTGGGAAAATATTTTTTTTTCAGTATCCAGGAAAAGCAAATTTTTTAAACTCTTGAGTTTTTTCATAAAAAAACCCCCAAAAAACAAAAAAACACTTCAGTTTCTTTACTCTTTAGTACAGAAGAACACCTTCTACATTTGAGTGGGCTTAGGCTTTTTGGCATCAGGAAAGAAAATGGAAATCTGTTCAATTTGGAGATCAAAATATCTCACTGGAAGAGAAACTGGAGAAAGGGAAATTTCTAACTTTTTCACTTGGTGAATATTTCATAAAATTCTAACTAGCTCCTATTACTATTAATATGAATAGAAAGCCTGAGTTAAAACAAGAGAATAAACACCTACACAGAAAATTGTTGTCTGATGCTCCCTGAACACCAATCACATAGCAGAGTATTTTTTAAAAATTAATTCAAGTACTCTTCCATGGAAACCATTAAAATGTTAATAGAAAACTTATCGATACAGATATATATCTTCTAAAAAGGAAGATGTATTTTTAAGCACATAAAAACATTGGTTATAAATATTGGATATATTAAAATATTTTCTTTCTCCTAAATATCAGACAAACAAAAGGTGGGTGGGAGGTAGGGAGCTGCGAATAATTGCTGAGAGCTGAATCACCTCATGGGACATCAGATCTTTAGCATCTGCACTTTTCTATACTAACAGAAGCTGGAAGAGCTAGAGCAGCTATTTATGTTCTTATCTTCTTATACTTCACAGTCTGATGGTTTTATGTTCATCCTTTATTTAAAGCCTTGACGAATGAGTACATAATCTTGACTTTTCCTAACACCAGTCTCTATGCCTAAAAGAAAATTTAAAGAACTCCAGTAAATTGCTTTTAATAACAAAAATAGAAAGTGTCCCTTCTTAGAAGTCATAAACAACCTGAGAAACAAGGAAACTAAGATATGTGCTAAATTTGATGAATTAGGAAAATAATTTAAATTCACATTTAAATGATACGTTATTCGATTGTATAATTAATTTATAAATATTTGGTATTAAAATTAAATAATTAAAATTACTTTCCTCATGTATTTCTTCCACCACCCATGTATCAAATCCCTTACTCTGATCCCCATTCGTGAAAAAGGGAGAGACGACAGACACATCCAGGGAAATCCTTCCTTCGGAGGACAACAGTGGTGCTGACCTCTCAGTATTTTCCATTCTATATTTTATGAAAATAAAGTCTGGATTTGACCAGTGTGGGAGTGGAGTGTGTGGTGCTACAGGGCTTTCTCGTTGTCTGGAGACATGCAGGGGGTGAAGGTCTCACGTGGAATTCGGTTCTCCTCACCACGTGTTGCTTGAACAGGTGCTGGGCTCACGTGTCAGACTTAACAAGTAGGACCCATCTTTGGAAACTAGTGACATATTTTATTGGTATTACAACTATAGGCTCATATAAAATCACACAAAGGTGCAATAGTGTGCAGGAAAGATTCATTTCTTAAGAAAATAATTTAATTTTTCAGCACTCGGCATAAGCAATTTTCAGTGGCTATGCATACACTTTCTTGTGATACTGTGATTGTCTATAAACATGGGGTCCACCGTGGCCACCTTGGCTGCTATGAAGGCATGTACGCAGTGCAGAACGGCGGTCAGATCCTGGAACTCGAGCTCCTGGAAGAAAAAAATGTGTTAAATGTGTTGATCATAATTACTGGAAAAACACATTACACATATGTTTAAATTTCTGTACTTTGTGAACTCCAAGAAAGTAAAAATACACATAAAATAAGTAAGGTTTAAACTAAAACGTAGAGTAATATGATCAAAAGTGGCATAAAAATGAATATATGGGGTTTTCTTAGTGCTGATACTGTGACAATTTAGCTTAAATCCTTTATTTTCTTATAATGTGGGTTAACACTCATTTTCTTTATTTTGCAACCAAAGTTGATCAGTGCTGGGTCCTAATCAGACCTGATCATCGGGGTCATGAGTGCATCCTCTGGAATTCCTTTGTTCCCCTTCAATGTTGGCATAACAAATTCCCAAATTTCAAAATAGTGAACAAAAAAATTCCTTTTAAGATGACAGCTAATTGATAGACATCCTATTTACTAAATTTCTTCAAATTCTAGCATGTTCCAAACTGCTGAGATGACATCAGAAAGGAAACCACTTCACTTTCAAGGAAAAGACCTCCAGCACACGCTGGCGTGCCAGTCCCACAGCTGTGCTCCCCTCAGCATCGCTAAACGCAGGATGTCTGATATTTTCATCCTATGGCAGGATGAAGGGTGATGGAGTTTGGACCTGTTGTCCCCCCAAAACTCATGTGGAAATCTGATCTACAATGTGACGGTGTTGGGAGCTGTTCGAGTCATGGGGGCGGATCCCACATGAATGGATTAATGCTCTCCCTGGGGGGTAGGGGTCCTGCGTGAGTTCTCACTGTATTAGTTCCAGGAAGAGCTGGTTGTTTAAAAGACCCTGGCACCTCTCCTCTCTCTCTCTCTCTCTCTTGCTTCCTCTCATCATGTGATCTGCTTGTACCCGCCGGCTGCTGCCACTTTCCACCATGAGTAGAAGCAGCCTGAGGCCCACGCCAGATGCAGCTGTCCCAGAATCGTGAGCCAAATAAACCTCTGTTCTTTATAAATTACCCAGTTTCATATATTCCATTATAGCAGCACCAAACGGACTGATGCGGAACTGATGGAAAAGGTGTACACGCAGGCAGAGGAGGAGAGCGGCACACCTGCAGGGACAGCCGTCCTTCCTCGACCTCCACCTCAGCTTCTCTGAGCTGCTTCTTTTCATAGCCCAAAGATTTGACATCTCAGAAATGCTTAAAACTTGCTTTACAGTGTGAGGTCATCTCAGTCTCTTTCTTGGTCTTCTCTGCATGCCTGCCTTCTAGAAACTGCTCCTCTCTTGGGATGGGTAAGGACCTGGGGTGCCAAGCATAGACCTGGGGAGGTTGACATGGGTGATGAGGACAGGGAGGCCAGGGTTTGCAGTTTGGTGTGACCAGGTGTGAAAAGTGAAAACCTGAAGCTTGCTGTGGATACTCTGCTGCCAAGTGCAGGAAGAGAGCCTTTCAGAAATTGAGTTCAACACAGAGAAACACGCCGCTGAGAAACAAACAAGAACACTGAGTGACCTGGGGTCTGCCTGTGCCGGGAGCTGCCCTCGACCTTCTGGTCACTGAAAACATGGGAATCCCTTTTCCTCTATTCCAAGGTGAACTAAGTTCCTCCTTGCATGCAACCCTAACCTTGACAGCTACACAATTACTTAGTTATTTTGGCTTTCTGAGTGAAGATGAGCAAAACGCTCAAGATGTCGAGGTGCGTTCTCTGGCATAGCTGTGTAACATTTCAAGAGTTGCATAGAGAATCACTGCACTTGCTAAGCAGGACCCTCACTTGGGTTGTTTGTAGACCCATGAGCTGCCCGACCCCTGTGCTAAACTTTAATTCAAGCTGGATCCACTAGTTGTACCCACACCGTCAGATGGTACTCAAAATCTTTTATTTGCTGTGATTTACCCCTGGAATAAAGAAAAATCCAGTAACTTCCTAGAAGAAACACAAGGTTCTTGGAAACAACACATACTCTAATTCAATTTATGTGTTTCTAAATAGTAACTACTGAGCTTCTCGAAGGGACATTAGGAAAAAAGAGCTATAATGTCCACATAATCTATGCTTCGGGGTCTTGATTTTAGTTATGCAAATTGGAAATTGCTTTACAAGTTCCCAAGACTTATCAAATAACAGCACAATGTGCCAAAACAAGAAACCAAATGGCCACCAGCATTAGTGAACAAATTTGAATGCAACATCAGTAGGTTTTTGATGTTATAAGTTGAAGCCACATTGCAAAATTTTTTAAAGCACTTGCAGGACAGAGTGAACTCGAACCACTAAATTCCACGCAAAATCTCAGGCAAAAGTGCTGAAATTCAAGATTCACATTAAAGCTTCTGAAACAGTTAATTCCATCTTGACCAAACCACTGAGTGAAGGCACCATGTGAGCAGAGGTCAAAACATAATATCTCTGGTCTGGTTAATCTAACCAAATATTGCTGGCAAGGCTATCCTGAATTAGAACTTTGCAGCTAGAGCCAATCAAAACCATATTTTGACATTCTGCTTGAATGGCATACACATGTTGTAGTCTAAGTCTATGACTTCATGTCTCCATCCCTCCCTGCTGTACTCCCAAACATGTGTGTACATGTTGGTCACCGGCTGTCATACTTGGCCCTGCAGAAGAAAGTGGACCCTGAAGGCTCTTTGGGTTGCTATAGTACAGGAAACAGATCGGTACAGAGAATTGAGTCAGGAAGTGTCAGCCTAATATAACAAGAGAAAGGCTCTCTAAAAACAGTACGTTTATTGGAAAATAAGCAGGAAATTGCAATTTGGGATATGTGTGCTATGACATGTTATAGGCATATCTGGAAAGGTTGGGGAAGGAGAAAATTTAAGGTCTAAGTGAGAAAGGGTACACAGGTTGTTCTGAAACAAATGTCCTTGGTTGGCATTAGCCCAGTGTTGAATAGGTGGTTGCTGGGTAGGGCTCCTTGTAGAAATGTTTTTTTGTGCAAGATTGTGTTGGCCTTTGAGCAAGGTTGTGGTTTTGGCAGAGTCTTTTGTGACAGTGCTTATTATCAGACACATATGCATGAGGACCCCCCCTCGTGGCCTCCCAACACCATCTTGTTAGGATTTGACGTAGGGATCTATCGTGGCATCAGTGACTTTCCCATTTCCCCCTTTGGATCAAGATTTTTCTCTGAAAGCACTGCTGACCATCAGCCTGTGCTTAGGTTTTTATTGTCTCTCGGTGCTGAGATGAACCTACCCACTCAGGCTGGTCCCACATCAGGGAAATGACCAGCAGTTCCGAGGCCATGTCAGAAGACTTTTAGCCACATTTGAGCTCCAAGGGGTTTGGAGGGAGCAGCTCTCAGGCTAAGCTGCTGGATCTTATTGCTTTGTTTAATTTTGTCTGTGTTTTGAGCATTGGTGATCATCTCAAAGCACTGGGACAGTATTCTCTTCTTAGGAGTGTTGTTTCTTCAGAGGTTCGACTGGCAATAGGTACAAAGTTTAAAATGGAAAATACAAAACAAAACCAACAGGAGTATAACACATTCAGTTTGTACGATGGTTCTGAACCAAGAGCCAAGCCTAAGGTCACTAACTAAACAAATTAAAAGACCATCAGAGATGGAGTGAGACCTGTTGTTGTTATTGAGTCTGTTTTCTTATTATAAGTAGTTGAGTCTCAGTTTCCCCAGAGGAATTTATCCAGGCACAGCATGTATTATTATGGCACAGATATCTCCTTATTTAGCTATTCAGCAGCAATTCTATTACCTAGTATCCTGTGACAGTTAAATTAAAGCAGAGAGTGCTAACTATAAATAGGGACGATTAGGACAATTTGAACAAAAAGTTGTGTTAAGGATGTTCTTAGAGCTACCCATCAGGTGGACTAAAGGATCTCTTAGGTCCTATAAAGATTTGATTTTGGCATGAGATTCAACATTTCATAAAGTTACATGCAGAAACTACTGACAGTGAAATTTTAATTACAGCATTATCAGGCCAAGCAAAAAATGGTAGGCACAAGGAAGAAAAAATTGAGAGATCAGAGTCTCATTATGATGGGGAGTCTTGTTCTGTTGTCTTGGGAAAAGCTGCCCACAGCTTGAAACCATCAACTTCTCACCCTGGTTTGTGGTTTAAGTGTCTCTGATTATGGCACTAGGTGGCTTGGTGAACTTTTGGTGTGGCCCGTACATTGGACACAAATTTTCTCCCTCAAAATTTACGTCAAGTGGTTTGGCTCCAACTTATAGGGCTTCAAAAACAGACCAGTTCATGTTCTTAATTAGAGAGTTGTAGCTGGATATTGGCAGAAACTAGAAGAATTTAGAAATTAGGCCAGCGTACAGGTAGATAACAAAAGGCAAAGTAATGAACAGGACTATGATCTAATAATAGGTATACTAGAGATTTCTTTAGAAACACAATTTTTTTTCTCTACAGTTACCCCCATATTTTACCAAAAATAATCAGAGTAAGACCGATCTGTTTGCAAAACAGTTCTCGGCTCATTAACCTGGGCCTGAATATTCACATAAGTACAGCAGGAATAGTGACTAACCATGGAGGAATTTCAGATTTATAAACCTCTCAAGTTTAGGAAGCCAAACCAAGACAGATTTCAGATTTTGTCTGCAGTACCTATGAGCGAATTTTAAATATGACGTCCTAGTCGAAACCTTGGTAATACAACCAATGTTTCCAATTATATCGTGTTATGAAGAGAGCAGATTCTTACTGAACTTATGCAAATAACCATTTACACAAAAATGTGGATACTTAACAAGTAGTTTTTGAATTCTGGAGGGATCAGATAGAAAAAGTAAGTGTATCCATTTTTGTTCACAAAAGTGTACTTTACCAAATTACTGTAAGCTACAGACAGTTTAAATGGAAAAAAAGAAAGTTTCCTTAAATCTTCAAAATGAAACATTAAAGAACCAGCAATGTTTTAAATAAAAAGTCATAAAACATTGGCCTCATTATTTATTTAGTTTCATGTAATTAATCCTTCTTCTTGATCTTGGTTAGCAGGTTCGTGAACCCATCA